TGTTGACGGAAGTTAGCCTATTTTCAGGCGCTGCGTAATATCAACTCGCCTGCTGCACCCCTGGTACAGCAGCAAAGTTCCTTGATTATTACGCCGGAATGAGAGTATAGTTCCTAGCCATATCGGCCTAGAAAATCGCAACTTTTCATTTTCCGTCAGTCTTAGTACACGATGTAACTACAGAAGAGTCAAGTTTTAAATAGGAAAAATATCGAAACTCTTTGGTCATTTTTGAGCGAGATGCTAACGGTCTAATCAGATTCAATGATCTATGTTAAGCTAAGCTAAAAGTGCTACCGCCAGACCCGGAGATCGGCTGAATGGATTCGAAAACGGTAAAACTCAACTGTTTAACTCTAGGGGAGATGGAAAATGAGCCTATTTTCAAAAATAGTGGAGTGTTCCTTTAAGAAAGAAATACACAACTGATCCTAATTTTAACTGAAAGACACAATTAATTCCTACAGAATTCAAGCATTGATAAATCAGGTTTACAAACATACGTAGCGGGAGTGGTGTGGCGTGAAGAACGCCGGTCGAGGTTGCTGATGCCCGTATAGAGTGAAATATTCCTGAGGACTGCCGTGACCTCTGAACACACTACACAACATGGCCAGACTCTGAACATCACTCATCTGCCTGTAGTGTTCAAGCCTGTGGAGGAAAGAGACAAAGTCAAAGATCATGAGAAAACGAAGACACCTTCATAAATTAATGCACATATGCTGGTGTCATCAGTTAATAAGCTGCAACTCACAATGTCTCCAGCAGGTGTCGCCCAAATGGATGTTTGGCCCAGGGAGTTCCAGCATCAGGGTCAGGATCGGGACTGAGGTCAAGATTTGTGGCTGCAGAAGCAAGTGCCCATACCTAGAGACAGATCATGGAGAAATGAAAATAGCTTGTTCATAAATCATGCTTACACACACACTACAGGTCAAAATAATTAAGAGTTATTCATGTTTTTGAAAGAAGTCTCTTATGCTCACCAAGCCTGCATATATTTGATTAAAAATACAGTAAAAACAGCAATACTGTGAAATGTTATTACAATTTACAGTAACTGTTTTGTATTTGAATATATTTTCAAATGCAATTTATTCCTGTGATGCAAAACTGCATTTTTTCAATTATTATTATCAATGTTGAAAACAGATTTTTGCCATTTAAAATTTTTGTAGAAACTGTGATTTATTTTTTTCAGGATTCTCTGATGAATAGAACGCTTGAAGCAACAGCATTTATTTGAAAAAGGAATCTTTTGTAACAATATCTATCTTTACTGATATTTAAAGCATCCTCGCTTACTAAAAGTATTACTTTCTTTAAAAAATTATTCCAAACTTACCGGTTTTTACAAAGGTATTAAGCAACACAACTCTTTTCAACATTGATAATAATAAATGATACTTGAATGCTAAATCAGTATATTATACTGATTTCTGAAGGATCATGTGACACTGAAGACTGGAGTAATGATGCTGAAAATTCAGCTTTGCATCACAGGAATAAATTACATTTTAAAATATATTCAATATATATTCATTTTTAATTGTAATAATATTTCACAATATTACTAATGTTACTATATTTTTGATTAAAAAAAATGCAGCCTTGGTGAGCATAAGACCCATCTTTCACAAAAACAAAAAAAAAATCCTACCAACCCCAAACCTTTGAACGGTAGTACAGTAAATGTAATTGATTTTATCGCACTACTTTCATGTAACACATATAGGCATGGTTTCACAGACAAGGCTTAGACTAAACCAGGATTAGGCCATAGTTCAATTAGAACATTTAAGTCATTTTTATAATCGTGCCTTAGAAAAAAACATTACTGATGTCCATCTTGAGACAAATCAAAGGCATTGATATATATTTTAAGATCAATCAGTGCAAGTTTCTTTCAGTTGGAACTGCTCAGACTTACAATTTAGTCTGGGACTAGGCTTAAGCCTTGTCTGTGAAACCGGGGGTTAATGTTTAAATCTTGTTGTTATGCTTTCTAAACAGTCTACAGTGGGGCAAAAAAGTATTTAGTCAGCCACCAATTGTGCAAGTTCTCCCACTTAAAAAGATGAGATTTTTATTCTGGTGCAAATATTACATCTTAATTATTCCAAACATTTGACTGATATTACATACCTTTGCTAAATCCCTGCGGCCCACTGCTAAGGCCGCCGCCCCATTCTTCTGACACGTGTCCTGTGTGTCATTAACATTTAGCCTAAGGCGAAGAAAAACAAAAAGATGCTGAGGATCAAGATGACATTTGAACAAAAGCATGTCACAATATTGGCAGGTGATGCTGTAAGTTGTCGCTGTTACTAGCAAGAAAGATATCATCTGAATATGACCTGGAATGCATTTCTGTCTAAGAAAACACAACATACACGTATGTTTCCCCGAGGGCTTTGTGCACAGGAAGCAGACATGAGATTTCCTGGATGATGACTTTGCCAGCCAGTTTGATGGGTCTGCTGCTGTAGTCTCCTCCCTCTCGCTTGCCTTTCCAGCGACGGGATTTCTGAACACCGTAAAAATGACAAACAGCAGGATCAGTCACTTTCTGATGAAAATAAATCAATCAATCATATCCTAAATGAATCCTATGGTTGTCAGTATGAGAAAACCCCTTTCGAGAATATAATTATAAATCATTATATATATTCAATTATTATTATTATGCATGTAATGTTATCATTAGAATTACTATAATCAATTATTAAATTAAATTAAATCAAATCATTTTAAATAAAATTAAATATGTTTTTCTAAATGCTTCATATTTGTTAAATGCACTAAAGAACTTGAATTATTATAATAAATGTTGAAAAGCTGTTAAGATTGACAGAAGCTAAAGCATAGTTTGAAATATCATTAGGGTCTAAAATTATTAAAATATTCAGTCCCAGCCATAAAATTTAAATTTAAATATTTAACAAAACTTTAATCAAAAAGTGATTAAAAAGTACTAAATTAATAATACATTTATTTACACATTTATTTATTTATATACTTATAGTTTTATTTAGTAATTTACTTATATACTTAGATATTTATTTACTTAAAGTCATCCCTGACTAATATATATATATATATATATATATATATACATACATAGAGTACATACACACACATACAATTTTATTATTTATTTTTTTCTTCTGTTTTTGGCTGTAATTTAAAAAAAAAATGTTTGTGACAAACTGATTGGTTACAGTGTTAAATGCAGCATCACATACATACGAAAGAGGGAAAAGGGATGATCTTTCATTTTTATGATCTGTGATTATCTGAATTTTTTTTCAAAGCAGAAAATACAGGGAAAATGTAGAGCTGTGATGTGCCATACAAGAAATGTATGATGACAGCAAATAACAAGCAACAAAACATTTGCCATTAGAGCACGTAGATTAGAGAGACAGAATAAGTGTGAGGGAGGGGCAGGGGTCAATACCGGACAGTCATGAATAGTCTGCACAGACCACCGGCGGGGAGCAGACAGAGGGGGCTTCTGATTGGATAAAACAGACCACAGCAACATGAGTGAGGGACACATGCCACCAAAATTCAACAGGAGAACGACAGCACAGAGAACAACAGTGACAATGAACTGTGAAAATGGTGCTTTTGAACCGGTGGAATAAGCGGGTGGATTTTTTAAATAAAAACCCATTTAAGAAATCATGTATAACCATTTCTGCAGACAGGCAAACACACAGGGCCATTTCACTTTTAAAAGCCCTCCCAAAAACAACATGAATAGAATAGAATAGAATAGAATAGAACGTTCCGTTCCGGAGCAGAGCAGAGCAGAGCAGAACAGAACAGAATCGACTAAATCCTAAACTCCTGACCACGGCTGCTGAATATAAATTTGCTTAAACGCTTAAGCTTCCCGCCAGCACTAATTTCAGTCCTGTGTGATGAGTCTCACCCGCTCTTTGTAGTAAAACGATGATATGGACACTTGGTCTTTGTCTGTGCGTGTTGGGCTCCCGCTGTACAACCTCAGGGTGGTCTGAGACTCCGTTCGCATTTTCATGGGCGTCATCACCCCGCTGTGATACGCTGAGAGAGCTGACAGCGACCTGCACATGCACACAGACTTCATCTTACGACACGTGTCTTCCATTGTATTCAAATAACAATATAGCATAACATTCCATGTTTCAGATAAAGCATGCAAACTGGATTGAATATTCACCTGGGAGTAGGTTCAGTCGGAGGGACTGTACGATGCATAGTTATGGGCCGTGTGAAATAAACCAAGGAACCTAATAAGCAAATTAAGTTGAAATGTATGTGTTGGATTTAAATGTAAAAACAAAAGTTTGGAATAATGACGATTTTTTAAAGTCTCTTATGCTCATCATGGCTGCATTTATTTGATCAATAATACGGTAATAAAAGTAGTAGCATTGTGAAATATGTTTACAATTTAAGAACATTATTCTAGTTTAATATGTTTTAAAATATAAATTATTCCTGTGATGCAAAGCTGAATTTTCAGCATCATTGCTCCAGTCTTCAGAAATCATTCTAATAAAACAATTTGAAAACTATTTTTGCTGCTTATTAATAATGTTTTGTAACATTATACATTATAATTACATAATAAATACAATTTTAAAACATATTAAAATAGAACGCTGTTCTTTAAATTGTAATAATATTTCACAGTATTCTTGTTTTACTATATCTTTGATCAAATAAACACAGCCTTGATGAATATAAGAGACTTTAAAAGACATCAAAAAATTATTTATTCCAAACTTGTGACCAGTAGAATATATATACATTTGACATATTTTATATTACAGACAGAAAAAATGTCTACTTCATGCATCAGTTTGGCATTCAATTAATAAACCGTGGACCAATATTAATATGCGTAGATGGAAGAAAAGGGTCATATCCCAGCCCACCTGTCCCACAGAAGCGCGCCCCTGAGGTGCGTGGGAAGGGGATGTTGGAGTCCTGGTACGAGCCGTAAGTGTTGCTTACTCGAGGGAAAGCTGGAAGTGCAGGAGTCACCGGGTTGGTGAGCAAGTAAGGGTTCGTACCGTCCTCCTGGACATCCAACAGCAGACAGTGAGTTAAAAACTCATCATGGAAACTACTGGTAAATGTGTTTGAACAAAATGATGAGTACAAAAGTAAAGCTCACTCACCATGACTCCATCTGACTCTAAGCAAGACACCAGCTGTCGAACACATGGCTCTAAGCAGTTCTGGTTTCTCTTCACCTTCTGAAGTGACGTATCAGTCAGGATCTACAAAAGAGATGAGGCTGCTTCAACATGACATTGTTCAAAGCTTTGAGTAAATCTCAAGCGTGATGGGTGTTAAGAGTTTCAACCTTCTGTATCTTGGTCTTCGTGGAAGACGAGATGTTCGTCGGAGAGACGAACTGGAAAGCTGGAGCTGCATTGTTGGGATACTGGGCAGGAAACTTCACCACGAGACGGACACGATTGGCTCCGCAGTCGGCCGACACAAAGCAGCTGCGGTTGACGGCATCCATCTACAAGAACATTAATGTCACCATCTTATTTATGTTTGACTGTTATAATTGCATCCCATTTATTCGAATTCTGCAACATGGCACAGACCATTTTCAGCAATCACAGTGACTGACCTCCACATTGACATTGCGAATCTGTAAGTTGACTAGAGAAAACTCTTGCTGCAGAGTCTGAGGCAAACCTGGTACGTCATTCTTACCGCTGGACGACAGGCCAGACTGAGGGCCGTCAAACTGATCTGCGAACAGACAGTAATTTACATTCATTAAAACTAGGATCTGACTGGAACATCCACTTTTTCAAATCACCATAAATGAAGAACGGGGTCAAAAATGAAAATTCAATGCATAAACAAAGGGATTTAATAATCAATAATAATTATAAAATATTCAATGCATTATTTTTTTATTCAAAATAATTTTTTTAATATTAGTTACAAATCTACCAAATTTAGATCCACAATTTACTTTATGTGCATCTTATATTTTTTATATGTTCAAGTTTATGGTCGGTATGATTTTTTAAAATGTTTTTAAAAGAAGTCTCTTATGTGCACAGAGACTGCAAAAACAGTAATATCGTTAAATATGATTACAATTAAAAGAACTGTGTTCTATTTTAATATATTTCGAAATGTCATTTATTCCTGTGATGCAAAGCTGAATTTTCAGCATCATTACTCCAGTCTTCAGTGTCACATGATCCTTCAGAAATCAGTATAATATGCCGATTTAAATAAATAGATAGATAAATAATATATATAATTTAATGTCATAAAAATCCACCAATTCCAATCTACTTCCTGTGAAGATTTCTATTTAATTCATTTATTGAATTCTATTTGTTTATTCTATTCTCTTATATTCTATTTAGCCACACAACACAAATAAATAGATAATAGACTTAAACATAATAGATTTAAATAATAACAGATTTAAATATAAATTGATAAGACAGGGAGACACACCGTGCTCACAGCTACGCTCATGTCTTCAGCAATTATGAGTTGAGTCAAAATAATTAAATGAATGAACCATGATGCATCAAATCCCTGTCAGAGCTACTCTTCCCTTTTTTCACCTTGTGAGTTGTCCGCTGTGAATCCAGGGCTGAGCGGAGGTTCGGAGCCTTGGAACCTCAGTGTTTTCTCCGTCTCTGTGGTGAGAGTCAAGCCCTCCATCAACTCGTCCGCAATGCCATTGGCACAGCACAGCTACGGATCACATGAGTCCATCAGTCTCAAGCATAAAGTCACCAGCTGTAGTGAAAGGATTGAGTTCATGGGCATCACCTTCTGAAGTTGAGGATCTACTCTCCATATCCTCAGGGTTTGATCTCTAGACCATGTGACCAGCTGGCAGTCTTTGGAACCTAAAATACAGAATGGATTGTGTTTTTATTCAAATGAAGCACTCGTTCACAGAATTATCACCATCTACTAGTTGCTCCTCTCACCTTCTTTCTGCGGCCTCCACTGAAACTCAAGTACAACGTCGTCGTGGCCCACGAAAGCGTGAACAGGACTGTTCAGTTCCAGCGTGCTCCACAAGAGGAGGCTGTTCTCTCGCCGCAGCTGAGGAACCATCACTGTAACCAGGCCGTTAGAGAAAGGCTGAACAGTAGAAAAGGATGGATGCAGTGAGTACTTTATAATATGCTAATTCATGTTTACTGGAATTATACATGACATTTCAATGATGCAAGTATAAGGGGAAAAAGTACACTTCTGGACAAAAATTAAGATTTTTTTTGTTTTGATTTTGCAATAAGTCTCTCATGCTCACCAAGGCTGTATTCATTTGATCAAAATTAAAGTAACTGTTTTCTATTTTAATATATTTTAAAATATAAATTTATGCATGTGATCAAAGCTGAATTTTTTTTTCATCATTACTGCAGTCTTCAGTGCCACATGATCCTTCAGAAATCGTTGTAATATGCCGATTTGATGATTGGTGCTTAATTATTAATAATGTTTTTTATTATTATGAATGTTAATCAGTGTTTCCACAAAAATATTAAGCAGCACAACTGTTTTCAACATTGATAAAACAAAATGTTTCCTGAGCAGAAAAACGAAGGATCATGTGGCACTGAAGACTGGAGTAATGATGTTGAAAATTCAGCTTTGCATCACAGGAATAGATTACATAAAAAAAAAATATTCAAATAGGAAACAGCTATTTTAAATTGTAATATTTCGCAGTGTAACTGTATTTTTGATCAAACAAATGCAGAAGTGATGACCATAAGTGATATCTTTCAAAACCATAAAAAAATATTACAAATTCCAAACTTTTGACCAGTAGTGTAACTGCATAACATCAATAAACAATACATCAACAATTTAAATAGAAGAAAGCAGCATTAACTACACAGAGCTGTTGTTCACTGACAAGCTGCGCAAAAAGTTCTGACCTTTGTCAAAAAAAGTCTTGTTGATTGTTGCCTTTTTCTCTATCACACTTTAGAAATAATCAGAAATGATATATCAATTGAAAACTTAAAATCTCAAAATTCATCCTTTGAAACCCATTTTAAAATCAAACATTGCATTACCATGAAAATGGTACATCAGTATCATGTTACAAAATGTTCATGAATTATACAAATTTAAGTTTGGATCGTGCACTTTCACCTCTATGTTCAAAAATGTGAGTGACAGTTAAAGGGTTAAAATATAATTTATTCCTGTGATCAAAGCTGAATTTTCAGCATCATTATTACTCATTCTAAAATGCTGATTTATTATCAATATTGGAAACAGTTGTGCTGCTTAATATTTTTTGGAACCCGTGATACTTTTTCCAGGATTCTCTGATGAATAAAACGTTTAAAAGAACAGCATTTATTCAAAATAGAAATCTTTGGTAACAATATATACACTACCGTTCAAAAGTTTGGGGTCAGAAATTTTTGTTTCTCTTTTTTTTTTTTTTTAAAAAAATAATTTTTTTATTCAGCAAGGATGTGTTAAATTGATCAAAAGTGACATTTATAATGTTACAAATATCGCAAAATATTAAGCAGCACAACTGTTTCCAACACTGATAATAAATCAGGATGTTATACTGATTTCTGAAGGATCATGTGACACTGAAGACTGAAGAGTGTATGATGAGGAAAAATCACCTTTGCATCACAGAAATAAATTATATTTTAAAGTATATTAAAATAGAAAACCATTATTTTAAATGGTAATAATATTTTACAATATTACTGTTTTTTTCTGTATTTTTGGTCAAATAAATGTAGCCTTGATGAAGAGAAGAGATTTTTGATCCCAGCCTTTTGAACAGCATTATATATATATATATATATATATATGCATACCAGACATTGTATCTGTTATCATGTTTGTTTGCTTTACTTTTAGGAAATTGGAAAGAACATTTATACCTTGAAGGATGTTGTTGATGAAATTCGGGATAAACCAACAAAAAGGAGTTTGGCTTTTTTGCCATACAAGCTCAATTTCAAAGAACCGTTTCCAGAGCACGTACGATTTGGTAATAACAACTTATACTATTACTAATGTGTCTTATGTTGAATTATTTGTTATTTGAATGCTGAAACTGTGTTATGGGTGATGATTTATGCATATTAATTTTGATTTACTTTGAAACACAGTTACAGAATTCGCTAAAAAGACAGGAGACTATCCCAGTCTTTCAGCAACAGACATCAAGGTCCTGGCTCTAATAGAAAACCATTATTTTAAATGGTAATAATATTTTACAATATTACTGTTTTTTTCTGTATTTTTGGTCAAATAAATGTAGCCTTGATGAAGAGAAGAGATTTTTGATCCCAGCCTTTTGAACAGCATTATATATATATATATATATATATATGCATACCAGACATTGTATCTGTTATCATGTTTGTTTGCTTTACTTTTAGGAAATTGGAAAGAACATTTATACCTTGAAGGATGTTGTTGATGAAATTCGGGATAAACCAACAAAAAGGAGTTTGGCTTTTTTGCCATACAAGCTCAATTTCAAAGAACCGTTTCCAGAGCACGTACGATTTGGTAATAACAACTTATACTATTACTAATGTGTCTTATGTTGAATTATTTGTTATTTGAATGCTGAAACTGTGTTATGGGTGATGATTTATGCATATTAATTTTGATTTACTTTGAAACACAGTTACAGAATTCGCTAAAAAGACAGGAGACTATCCCAGTCTTTCAGCAACAGACATCAAGGTCCTGGCTCTGACTTATCAACTGGAAACAGAGAATGTGGGAACTGAGCATTTAAAGAAAGAACCTGAGAAAAAGGTACTGATGATTGATTGATTGATTGATTGATTGATTGAAGGTGTCATAAAGGGGCCATTTTAGGGCCACGCCCCCCTAAAACGGCTCGTTCTAACACGCCCCCACATATCTACCTCACTATGTGGAAATATTTGCATAATGCCGCCCAAATGTGCACGCAAAGAAAGGCGTGGTATATTTTAAAAAGCATCATATGACCCCTTTAATTCAGATCTTAATTCACATTCATTCACATCTGTTCTAGTTTTCAACACTGTTTTCTGTTTGTGTTTCAGGTCCAAATATTCAGTACACAAAGACATCCAGAGACTCCTGTTGGCATTGCTGGTTTCCATTTTCCATCAAAAGTAAGACATTACTTGCAAATGCAAGTATTTGAGTAATGTTATTAAAATGAATATCCAAGGCTTCTTCCAGTTTGACACCGATGTTTTTACTGAAAAAGTAAATATACATAGACAGATAATGCAGATGTACCTTAAGGGCTCCTATTAATTTCAGCTTTTTTCCCCAAAAAAGTCTTCAGGCAAACAAAGTACAGCTGTCCAAATCCCACCTACAACAAATGAGCCACAAGACCCTGATACTTCACAGTTCAACACCTTTCAGTTTTGGAGGAATCCTCTGCCCAGCATTGAGACTGACCTTCTGGAACTGCTGGTGAGGAACCCGACAACATCCAAACCGCTGCCACAGTCACTTTAGACCAAAATAAATCCTATTTTCCTTCTTTCTGTCCTTCTCTCTAGGCAGCAGATGCCATCACAGTCACAGACAAACTAGAGTCTGTTGACCTGTCCACTGACAGTCAGCTGGCTGAATCTGAAGATCAAGATGGCACTAGTGGAGACCAACACGAGGAAGAAGAAGAAAGCATCGATGAGGAGGAGGATGGTGGTGATGGTGGAGGTTGGATTACTCCCAGCAACATAAAGCAAGTCCAGATGGATGCTAGTAACTGGGGACCGACAGCAGATGTCAGAGTGGGCTGCTTGACCACTGACTTTGCCATGCAGGTACTTGTCATTGATTAGACACATTGGAAATAATCAATTAAAACATGTTTTTCACAAATTTTATAATAATATATTTTCCCAACTGTGAACCTTGTTTACATTAACAGAAAAAGTTATTGGATTATGAAAATGAGGATTCTTATTGTTCATTGTAACAATGTGTGCTGATTAAAGGAATAGTTCACCCAAAAATTAAAGTTTGTTGAAAAATGACATCCAAGATGTAGATGAGTTTGTTTCTTCATCAGAACAGATTTGGAGAAATTTAGCTCACCAATGGATCCTCTCCAGTGAATGGGTGCCGTCAGAATGAGAGTCCAAACAGCTGATAAAAACATCACAATAATCCACACCACTCCAGTCCAGCAATTAATGTATTGTGAAAAGCTGTGTGTTTGTGGTTAACAAAACTGTCATTAAGACGTTTTTACTTCAAACCATTGGTTCAAGCTAAAATACGAGTCCATAATCCATAATATTGCTTTCTGCAGTGACAAAGTCATCACGTCTGAATCAGAAGAGAAATCCGAAACAAACGCTGTTTACAATTGAAAACAGTTCTGAACGAATATGTCGGTGGATTTTGATGAGAGAACAACAAGGGATGGACTTTTTCAATGGAGGAAGCAATATTATGCATTATGGACTCATATACACATACTCAAATGTGTTTTCTTACAAACATGCAGCTTTTCACTTCACAAGACATTAATTGATGGACTGGAGTGGTGTGAATTACTTGTGGATTATTGTGATGTTTTTATCAGCTGTTTGGACTCTCATTCTGACGGCACCCATTCACTGCAGAGCATCCATTGGTGAGCAAGTGATGGAATGCTAAAATATTTCTTTAACCATGCACATTAAGCAAGTGTGGTCAATTATGTCCATTATTTTGTCACAAAAACCTAATGTCTTGTTGTTTTCCTGACAGAATGTTCTGATTCAGATTGGACTGCATGTGCTGTCTGTTAATGGCATGCTTATTAAAAACACCAGGAGTTACATACTGCGCTGTCATGCCTGCTTCAAGTAAGTGATGGACTCGGAAAAGAATAACAGTTTTGGAGCAGGAATAATTACACATTTATAATAATATGTGATGTGTGTAACTTTGTCACTGCAATTTTTTTCTTCTTCTTGTTGTTTCCATATTTTCAGGACAACAACAAACATGAACAAATCTTTCTGTCCACATTGTGGGAACGACACCTTGAAGAAGGTTGCTGTCGGCATTAACAAGGACGGCACCATGCAGATGCATTTTTCCAGGAATTCAAAAGTGCTCAATCCAAAGGGGAAGAGAGTGAGTAATGCTTTGGATGTTATAACAGTAAATGTAATGTTATATATGAGCTAAATGCATTAAAAATTTGGAAGGCATTGCATGAGTAGTGTCAGATAAATCAGTGTTAGTAATCATGTACTTATGGTTTGTTTCTTCTCTTGTCCTCTGCAGTACTCTTTGCCTTTGCCACAAGGAGGAAAACACGCCAACAACCCACACCTGGTGGACGATCAGCGTTTCCCCCAGCAGAGATTGTCTAAAAAGGCTCGTCAGAAGACTGATGTGTTTGACCCAGATTACCTGGCTGGCAGCTCTCCGTTCTCCGAGCACGATATCTACAGCAGGGCAGCCAGTTTGCAGCTGCGGGACACTCAGACTGGAGGAGGAAGACAACGAACAAATCCTAACGCAGCACGCAAAAAATGTGTTAAGAAGTGATTATGTTCTCTCCCTACCTGCAGATTCTGGACTGGAAGCCTGAAACATTGAATTCTTGATTGAATTAAAATGTTAGTGGTGATTTCTCTTAATAAATCGGTTTCATCTTTCTCTTGACCTTAGGTTTAACTCTGTATCACAAAATATTTTCCATAATCTACCCTCATACCAGTTGAAACTGTGAAATGGAAATCTTATTTTTGTGCTAACTTTTAATAACTTGCTTTTCTGATCTAGATATAAAAGACACTTTGCAAAGACAATCTGCTATTCCAAGCAAACTCTATTTTGTGGGAAAAACAGAACACACTTGATTCATTGTAATGAATATCAGAAAGAACAGTTCGATATTTTTATCCAATTTTAATAAAACTTTCCCCCCAAAACACACTAGAAAATATGAGCAAACAAAAAACATACAACAGGTTAAATCTAATACGTAATCAAATTAAAAGTACATACTGATGCCACAAAGAAACTCACACAGCTTTGGAACAAGTAGAGGGGTTGTAAATGATGACAGAATTTTTATTATTGGATGAACTATCCCCGTTTTAATGCCTTTGCATTAGATAAGCTTCATCTGTAGACGAATGATGCACAAGCTTTTCTTAGAACTATATTATTATTATTATTTTTTTTTTGCAATGACATTTCACCAGCTAATCGCCCGTGGTTTTTAGTATGCATGTGAAGTCTCAAGTTCTCAAATTCATACAGGTTTTCTAGCAGAGAAACCACAGGTTTAGGTCACCACATTAACTATGAATGTTCCACTAACCTCTAACAACATTTATTTTGTCTTTATTTTGAACAGATATATCATATAGATATATCATGTCACCATCTTTTTGTATAATGTTTTGCTTAAAAGTGCCATCTTTCTTTTTTAATAAGATATAAACTCAAGTGGCATTTATTATCTATTTCAAAGACATTCAGACATTTTAAGTGTGACTTAAGAGTCCCAATACTTTTTGGGACCATTGTAACTCATAGAAAACACGTGATTCAAAGAACGTATTTTTCCCTGACTTAAATATATTATACCATTTTTAATCAAAAAAATTAAGTTGCAATTAAAAATGCGAACCAAGCCCTGGTAAAAGTATGTCCAGATAGTTATTTGCTATAAAAACAAAGCTTAATTATTTAGGACCCCTAAAAACACACTGCATGTAGTGCTTTTTATTTTGACAACATCTCCTCAACATTATTATCTGTTGTGGAGAAACCATCTGGCCCTGTTAAGTCCTGTTCATCAATGGTCATTTCAGTCTCTTGGCTTGGGGCGTTTTGCTCTGTACTGACCGCTTCAGCAGAAATGTTCTCAATTTGAGAAAGATCAGATGCTGACACAGGCTCTTGTTGTTCAGAGAAGACAGACTTTTCTTCTTGAAGTGTTACAGGTTTGAGTGCAGTTGAGAGATCTGATTCAGCTGTGGTCAGGCTGCTCAGATCAGTGCAGAGCTCCAGGACAGAGGTCACGGGCTCCTTCTGGGGCAGAACAAACTCCAGCGGCTCCAGAACTGTGTTCACATTGATGCAGCCAAGACTGCCATACTTATAAACCTGGGTTGGAGGGACACCTACAATACAAATACAAGACAAACCTGCAAGTTAACATCAAATGGTGTTTGCAATCGGTTTTATTTTTGTAATGTGACAAAAATGTCGATGTTATCCTGAGGATATTCACCTAGCATGAGAGCAAGCTGGGCTGGAGGAAAGAGAACTTGTAAACATCGGTTCACGAATGGCACCATGTCTTCAGCAAATGCACTGCAGAATTGAACAAATAAATCCCGTTCACGGCTACTGAAGGCAGATACCTCGGCTCGATGGAAAACCAGGATCAGCTTGGTCACCTAAGAACAGAATAACATTGTACATCTACATCTTTTCCTTTCATTGTCGATTTGAATTCAGTCAATCTACACTACTGTTGGAAAGTCTAGCAAGATTTTTTTTTGAAGAAATTCTTAAAATCACACCAAGGATGATAATAACTATAAAGCTTTAAAAATGGTTCTAATTCTAGAATATGAGATTATGGAAGTCCACACCATAACTATAACAATAACACAGGGGAACGGTATTGGAATACAATATTGGAATGATATGTTGGAATCACTTTCAGATCATTGACAGCCAATCAGAATCCATCCTGCTTTAAAGAGCTCAAGCATTTAAAGTGGCAGACGACAAAACTGCAGTAAATCCAGCCTCGATGGCCATAAGAGGAAAAAAAAAAACATACCTGTAGCATACAGTGGTGTGAAAAAGTGTTGGCCCCCTTCCTGATTTCTTTTTTTTTTTTTTGCATGTTTGTCACACTTTAATGTTTCAGATCATCAAACTTGGGCCATGTATGTGACGAGAGGGGCGGGGCCGAGAGCCGTGGGAACGGAGCGAGGCCGGTGGAGTAATTGCGAATGCGCGACACCTGCACCACTCACCGGTCTCGAGTCTCACGGAGGAGCTCCGGAAGGATACAAAGGAGGAGTGACGACAGGGAAAGACGAGAGAGGACCAGGCCTGGATTTTATTTTGTGTTTTGGTTTCGTTTGTGCGCGGCAGTCGTCCGCGAGGGGCTGTCGCGCTATTTTGTGTTTATTTTATTATTAAAGTTTTGTTTGAGTGTTCGCCGGTTCCCGCCTCCTTCTTCCCGATCTACAAACTACGTTACAATGTAGTTTTGGATTTTGTTTTCCCTCAATAAGAAAAACCTTCATTTAAAAACTGCATGTTGTGTTCACTTGTGTTATCTTTTACTAATATTTAAATTTGTTTGATGATCTGAAATATTAAAGTGTGACAAACATGCAAAAAAATAAGAAATCAGGAAGGGGGCCAACACTTTTTCACACCACTGTATATTTCTAACATATTATTTATGTAATTAATTACCTTAATAAGGGCTTCCTCAACACATCTGCTAACTTCTTGTGCGAGTCCAATAGGGCAGCACAGTCGTAAGTCATTGAAGGTTGTCAGGACGTTATTGAGGAAGCAGGCTAGAGGTGGGAAATCCAGCAGGGCCATGGGGGGCTGCAGTGTGCCCGGCTGGGTGCTCGGGACCGCCGGAGGAATGGTGCTTCCAAGTATGGACGGCAGAGAAATCAGCGTGTACAAGTTCATATCCTCTTGGAACTTGTCCACCGCTTCCTGAACAGCCTTCCGGAACGTGTCCATGGCAACCTGCTGAAATATGGGAGCGAGTTGGCCACGGAAATCCGCCCCGACCCGGCTAAATGAAAGGCCGAAGTACATGCACTGGCCGAGCAGAGAGTCCAAACGGCTTCCCACACCACGCTGGAGGTCCCGATCGAGGGTCTCCAAAAACTGTGCCGCCTGCTGCACCACCCAGCCGTGAAAGATGGCGCTCTCGTTCAACGCCTGACCACCGGGCAGCAGCAATGGATCCTCGTCTGAAAATATGGCGCGATACTGGGTGATGATGTCGAAGAGATGCACACGGCAGGTTTCGATGGTTTTGGTAATGTGGAAGTAAGGGTCTTCATCCGGGACTGCGGCAAGAATAGAGCGCAGCCAACTTCCACGGGCTTGCAGGAACTTGACACGCAGCTCGGCTTCGGTGAAAACGTCCATTCTGCGCAAGTATCCGATCACGCGCAGACAAACCGGGAGCTGTGTATTACTACGCAGTTGTTGAAGAAGTTGGTTCAGCATGAGCTGAGCAGACAGTCGAACCTCGTGCACAATTCCCTAAAAAAACACAAACAGGAATATTATTTAGTATAAAATATTTGTTGTTTTTCAGACATTTTTACAGTCCACCAGGTGAAAAACATAAATCTTATCAATTACAAAAGAGCACAACAAATGTACAATTTTTTCTGGAATTTAAGTTGTTACATTTATCATCTGAAACACGCTGCAATGTATATTTCAAAGCGAATTAAATAAATAAATAACAGGAAAATGAATACAACATTTAATTAATGACTAAATTGAATTTAAAAAAATAATCAAATCAATCATGTTTTTTTATAATCTAGCCATTTACTCCTTTATTTTTTCCTACCGTTACAGTTATTATTTAAAGGGGTCATCGGATGCTACATGCACTTTTACAAGTAGTTTGAACTGAAATGTGTGTTGGCAGTGTGTACACACAACCACCCTATAATGATGAAGATCCACCCAGTGTTTTTTTTTTTAATCTGGTTAAATCTTTACCCCTTTCTCAAATCGAGCCGATCTCAGATGCT